TAATAGTCATGTCTTGAGTTGTTCAGTATCGTTGACAGAGTAATCAGTACTGTGACAAACGGTAGTGGTGACAGTCTCCCTGAAGATTTCTTTCTTAATATTAATCTGTAGAAGTCTTATCACCATTGATCAGCAACTGTATCATTGATCTTTGCACAAAGATTCTGATATTTCTACTGACTTCTATTATTTAAAGTAATTTGATTATCCAGTCATGTGGGAGGGAGTTGAACATAATTAATCCAAGCTATGTTCAAGTTGGTCTTCCTTTTGTAACACTTTTCTAAAATTATCTTGACAAGTAGAAGCTGATCCTATTTGGATGGTTTCCTTTCTGCTCAGATAGAAAGCTTGTATTTCAACTAGATGCTTTTGGGCTGTATCAGCTCCACACAGCAGTTTGAAAGTTGTTGATTAGCAGGAAATTAGTCTGCAGTTGTCTGGGATTGTCCCTTTGGTTAGATCTTTCATTATCAGGTAGGTTTTGTCAGATGTTAACCAATCTTCAATTTCAGCGCCTTGCAGTATGTTGTTACCCTGCTTGGCAATGAATGGATGCAGATCATTCAATTGTTTCAACCCAAAACCATGTAGTTCATCTTCACCTGGTGCTAACCAATTCTTGATCTTCCTTTTCTCCACCAATTCTGATGTTATTACAAGTTTTTTCATTTCAACTTTATTTTTCCCTTTTTCTATCTCTTTTATCCAAGCTGCATTCTTATTTGATTGTCAGATAGCTGTGCCTAGAACTATATTGTTTCTTTGTCTAGTATTGGCTGCTTCATTACAGTCCCTCCATTAATAGATTTGTAGAAACATTTCTGATTCGACTGAAATTCTATCTCTAGTGTGCAAGGCAAGCTTAGTAACAACTGATTTTCTTTGCTACGGCTGTTATTTTCTGCTTTATTATTTCCAGTGCTTCTTTGGTGTTCCTTATCTCTAGGTGATATTTTATGAACAGGTATTCTTTGATCTTCTTGTTCTTCAAGTTCTTTTCTTTCTTCTGTTCTATTTTGATTGCATCTGATCTTAGCGTGCTGATTTTATTTTACAATCTGACCTTCCAATTTGAAAATGGCTCCCCCCCTCCCGTTTGTTGATTTTGCAAATATATCAGTAGGTATATTTTTTGCAATAAGCTGGTGCTTATATTCAATATTTTAGTATTGACATCTTTTAATATTTGTGCTACAATTGGGGTGTGGGGGTTGTGACAAGCTTCAAAGTAGGCAAGTTTATTCTGTCATTTTTGTGTATTCCATATGCTCAGTTATTTGTATCAGTTCCGCTTTTTTCAGATAGAGGACTTCATTCTTTCAGAGGAGAAAGTAGAGGATCTCTATGGGAATGAGAATGGCTCAAGAGTGATGCTGGCTTTCTCTGCTACTAACAGAGCTACATTAATCTGCTATCCTCTGTTCTGTTCTTTCCAATTCTGAATGTTACTCTTTCCAGAATTTATTTATTTATTTTTTATTTGTCAACAAGTACAAGGAAACAGTTATGAAACACATGAAAAAAATGGCACAAATGAATGGATATGAATAAGCAAAATATAGCCATAAACACATAAAAAGAGTACATATAAATGGGACAATAGGACAGGGACGGTAGGCATGCTGGTGTGCCTATGCACGCCCCCTTATGGACCTCTTAAGAAACGTGTATGGTCCACGGTAGACAGCTTAAGGTAAAAGGTATGGGGGTAAGAGGAACTAACTACAGGATCAGGTAGGGTGTTCCACACATTTACTACTCTATTGCTGAAATCGTTTTTCCTGCAATCAAGATTAGAAGGGATTTAGTTTGTATCCATTGATAGCCCATGTGTTATTGCAGTTGAAATAATAATAGTCATTAACAGGTAGGACGTTATGGCAGATTATCTTGTGCACTAAGCTCAGGTTGGAACATAGATGGCGTAGTTCAAGGTTATCCAGGCCTAAAATTTCAAACCTAGTGGTATACAGAATTTTATTACGAGCAGAGTTGAGTACTCTCAACTCAAGAATGGATACATTTTTTTCAGATCTCCTTTTCTCATTTTGAACAAATAATGCAATTTTTCTTCTAGTAGTCCAGGAGTTGTTGGCTCTAATTGCTCAAGCCCTGAATCCTGTAATCCACTTGTCACCAGAAGTACAGTATTTCCAAAATCTAGCATATAGTCCATGTTGATTCAGGCGATGACCAATCTTCTATAGGTTTCTATAAGTTACATTATATCATATTCTTTATGGGAGACACTGTATTCGTCTGACTTGTCCGATGAGACCTGTCCAGTGTGGTCAAACCTCTGACACGCCTCTCATCTTTCTCAGACTAAGCAAACCTACAACTATGTCAGGGTAGTGCTTCATTGGTGACTGGCTTATTATTGTTGCTTTAAAACATGTACGCCACTTGACTCTCAACAATCCTTTGTGACTTACAACAATCAGAGAATTTGCTATAAAGTCAATAAAACATCAATAAAATCAATAAATAAAAAAAGATGGCAAGTATGATAGACCAGATTGAATGGAGCTGGGATCTCACTTCCTTTGCCAAAGACTGAGTGAAAAGACATGTATTCACAGAATTACTTAACAAGATGAAAGAAGAGTTAAGGGACGGAGAGGAAGGGGGAAACTATTGTAAGTTATAATTTGTTGAATTTTATGATGTCCTCAGACATAGGGCAGAAGTTAAAAGAATAAAAGGCAGTATATAAATCAGTGTATGGATGTGGTGTAAGCAAAGATGGCTTGCAAAGATAGAATGTTATGGAAAATAATAGTGAATGTTGTTCATGTAAACTAAATAATACTGTTTGCTTTATTTTTCTTTCTCTTTTCTTTTCCTTTGCCTAATGTTATTATGCATTATCATCATGGGCAAACATGTAAACATATATGTTACTAAGTTAAAAAGGTAAAGATGATGGATAAATTTCCAGGTCTATTAGAATTAAAAATACAAAATACCATATTTTTCAGAGTATAAGATGCACCTTCCCCTCCCCCCCCCAAAAAAGAGCATGGAAATGTTGGTGTGTCTTATACACCGAACAGCCATTTTTGACTTCCTGAAGCCCCATCCCTGCATACCACTTTTGCAAAGAATGGGTTAAAAACGTGCCATTTTCTGCAAAAAATTGAGGTGGTTTTGCCTTTCCCCAGTCCACAGAAGCACTCCGCAGGCTTCAGCAGGGCTGGGGGAAGGCAAAAATGACCCCGTTTTCTGCCCATTTTTGGCAAAAACAGGGTGATTTTGCCTTCCCCCAGCCCTGCTGAAGCTTGCAGAGTGTTCCTAGGGGCCAGGGAGGGAAAAAACCTTTTTTTTTCTTACTTACCTCTTCAAAATCTTGTGTCTTATATACCAGTGTGTCTTATAGTCTGAAAAATAGGGTAATAGCTACAATATATCTTGAGTATAACCTTTCAGTCTTATGAAAGGGCAAATTTTGATCCAGGCATTTATGTGTGCTGCATCTGTTCTTAAGGCATATACTGTACTGAAGTCTGACATATAGGAAATCAGTCTCAGGCATTGGGTCAGATATGAATTTAGCTAGCATCATTTATCAGTGACTGAAAAGAATTTGCAAGTTAAACAATAGCATGTCAATAAGTTTCCTTAATAACTTTATAGATAACATTCTTTCAGTTACTTAATATAATATCTTATTACATATTTTCACAAAATTTTAAAATTTGTTATTATAATGGTAGTAAAAATAATAATAATCAAAATATTTATTTGACCTGAAAAAATATCAGAGCATGCTCTGTTAACTGGGCATTAATTCTGAAAATAGGACTGAATGGTGTTGTCTAGTTTCTGTAAAACTTCTGGACCAGAAATATTACATTACATTTGCCACAAAGTACGAACAAAAAGAACACCTCAGGTAAAATGAGATAATTTAAAAATTGTTGTAAAACAACTAATTTAATACTACTCTTTGTCCTTCTGTCACTCCTACATGAGATCAAATCCTGCAGAAAACAACACAATCTTTATGTTAGGTCTTTTCACTCCCATCAGTGACCAAGAGAAATATTCAGCAATGGCAGGCTATAGTAATTGTAAGAGTTACAATTAGCAGAATACATGGATCACTTGGTGGAGGGAAGCTGCTGTTGCATCTTTATGGGAAATGTTATATGCATTTAGATGCAACAACCACACGAAATAATTTCTTAAAGTAATTGTATGTATACCAGTAATACTATGTCCTTAAGGAACTACAGGGACATAAAAAATGTACTGCAGAAGATGAATCTTAATCGACAAGTTCATTTAATCTGAATATTTATCTATCTCAGGAACTAGTATTTTACATTTTAAAGCAATTTTTATTTCCTATATAAGTATGTAAATCTAGTTATACTACAAATGCCAATGAGGTGTATTTTTTAAACCTAATCAATATACAGCTAGGTGGAGGCTTGTAAAAATATTATGGATTTGCATAACAATAACTTATGAGAGTTGTACCATTCTCCAAGGATTCATAAATAACACTGATAAATACTTTGTGTGGTTTTAATACAATTACAATATGGTGGGCTTAGGCAAATGTTAAAGTTGTCAAGTTATATTGCAACAAGAATCCTGTTTATTGCTGACTATAATTCATTTTCATTGAATAGTTTCCCCATATAAATGAAAAATAATAATAAAAATCATTGTTTCTCTATACCTGCATATTAAATGTGAATTAAGAGAAGCTTGTGATGATAGGAACAATATTCTGCAAGCATCAAGGGCTGTGTTAAATGGCAGAAAGGAGCCTATACTAAGCACTTACTCATTTGCCACAGCTAGTTTTAGGATTAAATTGATAAGGCAATCAGTTGCTGTGTAATATTCTATTTGCACTTTGAAGTTAAAATGTGCTGTTAGAATTCTTGTTCAAAGTCAGGTGGCTTTCAGATGTTCATTAAAAGGTATTGCTACTTCAACATTTTAAATGTTTTTCTGCTTTCTTTCTTCTTTTCCTTTAACAGTCCTGGTACCTGGGCTAGCTTGGTCCCCTTTCAAGTATCAAACAGGACATCAATTCTGCCCACAAATGTCCAAAATTATGGTTTGAACATAATTGGAGAGCCTTTTCTTCAAGCAGAAACAAGCAACTGAGGGAGATTGAAACTGAACAATACTATAAAAGAAAGGAAGATGGGACAAAAGCAAAGAAGAAACTGAAGAAAGAAGAAACATAAACCAGCAATTGCAGCACTTACAATCATTAATTCCCTTAAGATTGAAACTGTAATGGCAAAACAACAGCAACAACAAAAAGCGGGATTGGGGGAGAGGATCAATGATATTTCACTGATCGTGGAAATATGCTCCTCCTGAGTAGCCTTTGTTCTATGAAATTCACTGGGAAATAGATGTTCTGTCTCTGACAATATATTTTAACTGACTTTCTAGATGCCTTAATATTTGCATGATAAGCTAGTTTATTGGTTTAGTATTCTTGTTGTTTACGCAATACGCATGGGATCACTATTCCTAGTTAGCTCTCAAAACAAAGGCTAGGAGGCATCCACAGAGCTGCAGGAGAAGGAAGGCCAGAAGCCATTTTTTTCCTCAGCAGTCTGGTTTCTAAAAGATTTTTCAAAGAAAAAGAAACAAATTCAGCTTTTAGTTGTCAACCCCAATTTATTTAACTTAGGTCCTTAACCCAGTCTTTTCTTAGTGTGTTATCCAGTTTAAATTTTTCAGGAAGTCATTTAAATAAGCAGGCATTCTATAAAATCAATGCCTTACTTTGGGTAAAAGAAAGTGTTATCTTCTCAAATGACAGTTTAAAAAACCTGAGAAAGACACTAAAATAATTCCCCATGCTAATGAAAACATTAGAGGCAAGTGCAATTTAAAACCTGTATCTAAAGGGGATAATTGTTATAAGTCCTTTAGCCCTTGGACTCTAAATCGAGGGGATTAAAAGACAAGATAAGTTTCAAAAGTATTTCGAACAAATGTATTTTTCCCCCACTTTTGAAAGGGAGGGGTCATTAAAAGGCATTAACTAAATCAAGACAAATCATTTACTTGAGAAAAGGAAATTAATTGAAACACAGCACTTAACATTGATTTAGCTTCTGCCTCCTTTGAGGTATCTTATTTATTTAAAGTTACTGGTTGGATCAAGAACCCATAAATAATGGAAACGGTTTTCTAGAACCTTCATGACAGAGACAGAGAGGTAAATCCATGTCACAGGAGCATAGCTTCTGGTTTACAAATGGGAATGATAGGTTGTCGGGTTGTGGGAAAGGGATCTGAAATATATATTTTAAAAATGCACTCTTTAAAAAGCATAATGACAGGGTGCTGAAAACTTGCATGGTGCTCTCAGAAATTAGCCTTGTTTGACAGATTTCTCATATACACAATATTGTGCATGGGCAGATACATTTGCCTCTACGTCTCTATAAAAGAATAATTGAAACTACTCTATCCAGTAATCCTAATTTGCACGAAGTTATAATGTCCACATAACGTGCCTTGCCTTGAAATCTAAAAAGTGACATCACTACACTTGTTTTGCTGCATTTATTATCATTTTAAATCTGTACCATTTTTATGACAAAATATTTTGTACTCCAGATGGGAAAACAACAACAAAAGTGACATCATGGATTTTTTAAGCAGTTATAACTTTATCTCACATTTATAAAGCATATCATGGCTGTGTATAGTTGCCGCTTAAAAATTGTAATCGACCAGCAATATTTTCAGTATTTTGGTGTTTTTTCTATTAATCTTTCATGTTTTTTCATCTTCCAATTAATATTGGGGGGAGGGGATTCAAATTTATACGACTTATGCAATACCAAGTTTTGCCTATGTAGGTAGTGCTTTTAGCTGTATTGGTTATTATAGGTAAGTACACAGATTTAAAAGACAAAAGATTAATGTATGCTTTTTTGTTTGTTTGTTTGTTTGTTTTAATTGACCAAAGTGGGTACTGCTATTTTTGCAGTGTGATGAGGTCCTTTTTGTGTACTAAGAGATGGACAGGGGATTTTTTTAAAACTACGTACATATATCTATATATTCTGGGGTGGGTGGGGAGGATTTTTAACACTTGACAGTGTAGCTGTGAAGCAGAGCACCATTGGCTGGGTGAAGGCTACAAAGCGACTCTTCTTCCTACTGTGATTTAAAAGCAAAAGAAAAAAAACCTTAAAAAAGGTGTTTTCTTTTAAACTTTCCACCTGGGGTGCAAGCTGAAATCATTTCTGGTTTGAAAACAGACATAGTAATAATGAAAAATAAATAAAGATGGATTTTATTGGAGGCAGACCTGATTTGAGAAAAAAAATACCTACTTAGAAAAAAAATAATCTCAAGACCCACAGAGATCAAAAACCCTGTAGAATTTTGCAAGTTATACATCCATCATATAAAAACCTAGTTTGACATTTAAACATCACATAGCATACAGTGCCAAAACAGTATGTGCTATGAGACAAAACATCTTCTAAAGATGCTAATTGTATACTAAGTATTGAATTGGATTCAGTATTTGTTTTCTATGAATGGAGGCATTTCCAGTGGGAATTCCATAATGTCTTCTTCTTTGTCCTTTTACAAGAAATGAAATTCTGATTTCCTTTTCGGCATCCCCCAGCATCACTGATTTCTATTGTCAGAGATCAGGTAGGAATGAAGGACTGGATCAGTCAGGGACTAATCAGTCAGTGGATTGTTTTGCTGGATCAGACCCTTTCTATATCCTTTCTCCCATGTGGATCTGTGCTCCTTTATTTCAGTACAAATCGCCAAGCACAAAAATGCACAAAATGTGTTTGTGGACAACCTGGTTAGATATTAAAATTAGTAATGTAGAAAACTATCAGCTCTGATGGCTTAATTCTAAAGGTTTTCTTCTCTGGATAAAGGGTGATTCTATGGGATCACAGCCCCCTTGCACAAAATCTACAACTATGAAATTGTTAATTTCCACACTGTATTTCTAGTACTGAGAAGAACACAAGAGTAGTCAGTCTTATTTTCATGTTCTCACAAAGACCCTAGCTCTTTTCTACGTAACTAGTTATAAAGCTTAGATTAGGTAAAAATGAAAATGACTTAGCCTTACAATCTATTTTTTTTTAAATAACACATTATACAGACCTAGTGTTGAGAGAATGCTCATCAGTTGTATTTTGCACCCAGCAGTAAAAGAAAATTTACCAATTAGCATAATCCCATATTGTCTCTAGGATAGAAATGAATGTAAGTACAAATCTAATGTTAGTATTCATAACTGGCATGGATGTAGGTATTTTGTCCTTGGAGTCTGTACTGAAATACAAACTAAAACCCAAACTAATATTCAGTCTCCGTGTTTACCAACACATAATTTTTATTTGCCTTTAGTTTCAGCAAATGTAAATTGATAGGCAGTTCAAACACTTTTATACCCTTATAAAGAAACGTTTTAAACAGTTTTTAATCTGCTCTTTTCAAGCAGCTATACAAAATGGATGAAAATTCCAAGAGAGTACAATTTCCCTTCAAATAAGTGTAGCAACATAAAAGTAAAAATAAAATTATTTTGAAGAAGAGTAGCCCAAAAGATTGCCATTAGACCCAGAGAAGCTACTTCTAGACATTCTGTCCAAATTCATGTGAAATTTCACTCTTCCCCCAAAAGAGCAGTATTTCAAAACATTTCTCTCAACTAGAAATAAGCAATACTTAGGATTGCCATAAAATAAATAATAAAAATAATCCTGATCTCCTGTTTTGACCATGGCCTTTGGTGCTAGGCACAATATGTCAATCAATTTCCACCTGCATTGCCACTGAATTAATTGGTATTTTACTAGTTGCAGCCTTCTTTAAAATAGTGCTGAGAATTATCAATGCTGAAAGAGAATCAGATTCCCTTTCAGATTTGGCCTGCACCAATAAATGCCTTTTTGAGAAAGTTGCTTCTGTAAAGTCTTAAGGGCAGTTGTAAAGCTGTAGGATTGTTGGTAAGGCTTGTATTTATAGGTAAAGTAAGAATGAAACCAACTATATGTTGGCTCTTTTTCTGAGCCCCTTTGTAAGTGAATTAATTCACTAAATATATGCCTGTTAGGAAGAACTGAAATGTACAAACACTTAAGAGTTGGTGGGCCACAAAATGATGCACTGTTCTTTCAGTTTATCCCTTAATGAGGGAGAGTTTCATTAAAAAAGGCTGGAGTGTGGTAGCCACTTAATCCAGAAATAATTTATTTCATTGGGAATACTGAAACCAAGTTGAATTCAGTTTTTAAAGTGCAATAGTATAACAAACAAGCAGAATTTGACAGAGAACAGTTGCAATTCAATTTCATAATAATCCTGACCTAACTAATACATCAATCAAATGGATGTATTTTTTTATCAAAGGAAAATATTTATAAAAGGCTACCTTGCTATTTTAGATCCACTTTCTTGACATTAAATTACTTGGTCATTTGGATCATAATTCTGACAAAATTTTCAGGATAATGCTCTCTGTGGGTTTTTCTGCCTCTCTTTCTAATTGAAATATCCATCGTATCCACATCTTCTACACTTCTCTCAGAGCTGAGAATTCCAGTGCAGAACGAAGTGTTAACACACTCTAAATCTAATCTAAATCCCCTCCTTAATCAGTAAGTATATTCTGACAAAATCAAGTCACCCCGTTCTATGTGCACTGTTCTGCCTTTTTCAATTGCTTTGCAGCCTTTGCCTCTTGGCAGTGTCACTGAAGTGTTTTTCCCCCCTAGAATGACATGAACAGTTGAGGCTTGACTAAGGAAAAAAAGGCAGTGAAGGAGACTGTACATAGACATGGCAAAATATTAAATATAGCAATATAGTTGTGTGTTCAGGACGGCAGCTCCATTTATAATATGTGAATGAACCTGTGAAGCTGCAATGAAGAGAAGAACAGAGGATCTTCTTAATGAACCCACCTAGCGTGTAGACAGTAATTTGTACACTGTATAGTTTTGTTAAGATTTTTTTTAAAGCACCCTCGTTTGTAAAGCTAATTTTTAGCAATTATAATGGAAATGTATGTCATTTCCACTTCTAACGTAAACAAGAATCTTCCTTGTTTGGAAACTGGACTTGGGTTAAAACTCTCCAGTTTCTTAATTTATGTATTAAAACAAACAAAAAAATCTGTCCATGTTACGAGATATTTCACTATGCTTGAAAAGCATAGGTTACTGATCCTTTTAAAAGAAATTGTAAATGGAGAAAAGTTATATTTTATGAAGGTTATTTTGTTGTATTTAGTATTGGAAAGTTGGGTTTTGGAGCATTTCAGAATGTTGGAAGCACCACTGTCTTTTTTTATTAGTATATATGGCCTTTAGCAAAAAATGTTGTGATTGTTACATGATGGTATTTAAGAGCAGGTTCACAGAGCATCCAGGAGAGAATTTCAGTGAAAGAAAAATGAAAACAGTACTTATGTCTCATATAGCAGTGTCCTCAGGGAGCAAAAATTTGGATTTGCAATTAGGAGCTTCGTAAGGACTTACTGAATGAGATTGCACAAGGATATACTGAGCTTTGTCAACAGTGCGTGTCCTGTATCTAAGTCATTCTAAATTTTGTATACTATGTGAGATTGTGAAGGCTGCATCCCACATTTGATGTACAGTATTCACCCTTGGGAAAGAAAGAAAAAATCTCTACACCCATGCTGGCAGTAATGCCTCCAGCATGACATTGATTCTAGTTTACATGTTCCTGCCAAGGTATTTTGTTAACATTTGCCAGCTGCATGCTTCCTAGGCTTTTATTTTTTTATTGGGTTTCTATAAGAGATGCTAAACGAAAAACAATGCAGGCAAATCATGTTGAACACAGAAAGCTCAAAATTGAATGTCCTACTCCATGCGGAAGGAGCTGAAACCTGCCTCCTTCATATTTGCACTTTCTGAGAGTTCCCCTGTTTTTTCTATCTCCTCAAAACTTTGTGGGTGTGTTGGAGCCCACAGTCAGAGGATAACACGGACCACTGGGTTTGCCCTTTGACCCAGCACAATGACCCTTGCATCAGCCAAACCTATTGCCATGACAACTCTTGTACTGTTTCCATGCCACAGCTCTATTGGTCACATTTGTTAATAGCAAAGGGGACAAAGCAGGAGACGGTCAATTTATACATTTTTGTTGCAATTTTTTTTCCTCAATGGTTGTAAGTAGTTTTTTTATATATATATATAATAAAAGGGTTCACTAGTTATTACTCCTTAGGATTATCTGTGTGTTGCAATTAAAATGTATGTTGACTTTGTGAAAGGGGCTTCAGTGGCACTCCCCACCCCACCCGTGCTCATTCAAGCCTCCGTTGCATTTAGTGCTCAAAATCTTTCCAGGAAGACTCGAAACAAACACAGCAAGCAAAAAAGCAACGGATGGCAGCAAGAGCCAGTGCCACTGAATCCAGTCTTTGTATTACTGTATTTTTGACAGAATGGTTTTGAAAACTGTGCTACAGGGACTGATGTGGCAAAATGTGTATCTATATGCAGAAGGACTTTTTTAAAAATAAAAAAGAAGTATGGCTTATTATGCATTCTTCATAGAGGGCATTGAAGTTGCATGGACTTGCGAGAAGTTGATGCAAAATGAGAGAGAGAAAGAGACAAAAAAAAAACCAGCAAAAAAAAATGTTTACCAAAAAGAAAAAAAGTGAGAAATTTTAAAAAAAAATGACCAGTGCCTGTTCAGTTTCACAGTCTCTGTTGAGTTCAGTTGTAAATATGTTTCAGATAACATTTACTTCAAAAAAATAAAATAAAAATAGAAAACTACAACATGGTAGAATGTGAGGGGTGACACCTTCCCAGGCTTAGACTTCTCAAGAGCTACATTAGATTATGTCTTCATCAAGCTGTTAATTTGTGCTTATATCATATAGGACTTTAGTGAACTGGGAAGAAGCACCCCAATCTCAATGATAATTCTCTAAGAACAATTTTTGTAGGGCTGTGTGTTTCTTTAGATACATTTAGTGCAACTGTAGGTGACAAGTAGTCAGTTATTGCTTGCTAGCTACACACCAGGGTTGATCCATTTTAAAACTTCTGGCATGGTCTATCCTTCTCCACTTCTCCCCAGAGCCAGAGGTCCCCAATATGTTAGATGTACTTCCGTTGGCTTTGTTTTTAAACGCATGCAGAATTTTGGTGTAATGATAAATTTACCCATAGGATGCATATATACTCTGCAGTTTTCACTTTTACAAAATTGGGACCTCTGGCCACCAGGCTCTTTTGGGGGCCAGAAGGTTTGTAAGGAGAGGTTCTGGGGAGAAGAACTCTTGCTTATTTGCAGGACAGACATGTTCTTTGGAGTACTTTTCATTAGGTTACAAAGCTCAGCTGCCACAAGTTTTAAACTGGTGTAAATCAAGCTTGAGTTAATGTGATTTACTGTTATATCCAGCCTATACTGCTAGCAGCTGCTCATACTGCAGTCAATTACTGGAAGCAGATATATTTCCTATGCAAAACTGTTTAAACAATAAAATGAGCTATGCTACAGCCCTCTGGTCACTTGTGTTTTCTTTTCTCTCCCTCTTAAAAGTAATAGGTTGGTAATATTTTGGAAAAGTTCTTGAGTTGTTGGTTTCTCAGAGCATGCAGTAAATCTTTTCAGTTTTCTGTTTCTTCTGCTTGAGGTTAAAATGAGCTCTGTATGTTCATGTATTCTGCCTTTTAATACACAGTTTAAGCTGGAGAATTAAAATAGAAAATGAAGCAGATATTTCATTTTTATCCTTATTTGATGACAAATAAAAACTGTTAATGTTTACCCCTGAACTGTGTTACTGGAAACTTGACCTGATCTGAGGTCCATTTACTAGATCTCTTGGTTTTTTTGTTCTGCAATTCCTGATAGATTTAAAAAATATTATTCATCTAGCCTATATATATACCAGAGTTACAATAATTTAACATGTGGTAGTCTGTGGCAAGCCCATTAGTGGATACCTGATTATGCGTATATGCCTTCATTTTAACTACTAGATGTGTTCTTGGTGTGGGGGGAATAGGATGGCCACCAGATTAAAATCAAGTGCAGAAATTCCTGCTTTTTGTCATTATGTAGTAGTCATTTGGATTTTTGCAATATAGATTTTTGTAGCCCTACTTTCATCCTCAGCCCATATACAGGCAACATTTAGATTTTCAAACTTTAAAGAAGACCTGGGACCCAATGAACCCTTATGGAATAGATGGAAGTAACAGGAGCCCTGCACTCTGACAAATAACCCCACCCCTGTGCTATCTTTTTTTTTATAGCCGGTTACCAACTCGATTACAATCAAAAGCTTATGAGAAGCCAATGTAGCTTGTGAAGTAGTTGTGTAACATTGGCAGGTGATAATCATTAAAAATCAAGTTGAAGTCCATGCTGTCTCACCATTTCCAATGAAGTATTCACTCTGGATAATCTCTGGAAAGATATATTAGAAACAATTAACTTTAGCACACATTCAGAAATGACATCCCCTACTATCAGTGTTTCATCTGTTGAAACGGTGATCTAAAAAAGCCTTTCTGTTTTTTTGTTCCATAAGTTTTATTCACCGTTAATTTGTCCTATTGATGAATCATAGTTTGACCAAGTGGGACGAAACTCAATGTTATCCAGACTGTAGAAAGTTTACATGCAGGGTGGGGGGTCTACCTACCCACAAAACATGCCCCAAGATGTTGGGGACTTATTTTAAGAAAACTGAGCAAAGCAAAAAAAAGAGACAAAAGATTTTCTTATATCATGCTTGGGGATAAAGGAGGAGAATGACAACAAATATATTATCAGTATTACCTTCTCTATTAATGATACTGCACCTTAATTATTACCATCATCTCTAATCCAATGTATGTATGTAAGAAAATTAAACTAATTTTTCAGCCCTGATGAGTCACTTATAGATAAACTAATTAATTGACAATCCGATGCCGTATTATTAATAACTTGCTAATAAACTATTATTAAAGTTTAATAATACATTGAACACTCCTTTGATAATTAGATGTAGAAAAGTAAAAATTATGTCTCGGTTAGATTATGTTTTTGTTGTTACCAATTATCTCATATTTCCATTAATTGAAAGAGATCTATATTGTCACTTCAGTGGGATGCAATTTATCCACATGTATTTCATTTACTAATTGTTAAGTGGAAAATGGTAATCAATTAAAGTCCTTGAATTGGTTCACAGCTGCATTTAAAGACACTGCTAAAATAAAGATTCTGCTGTTCTGCAAGATTTTGGCCAGAAGGCCAAGCCTGCAGTCTTTAAACTTTGGCTTTTTCTCTGGGCTTGGTGCCAATTCATATACTTTTTGATTTTCCAGAGCACAAGGCCTCTCTTAGAGGTTTAGATTTAAAATAGTTTTCCAGATGCAGAACTACAGGAGTTTAACCCTATGTGAGATAGTCTGGATTATGAAAGTGGGAGCTTTCTTTGCTTAGTTAGCATTTATTCTCATAGAGATCTATCCCCTTTAAAAATTCTCAAGGCAGCTTAAATAAATTGAAGGTATTAAAATACCTCCAGTATTAATTTAACCCTATATATTTCTAATCCCATTATGCTCAATGGAAGTTTTGCACACCTCACTTCATTAGAAACAACATAGAAGTTGCAGAAAACCCAAAACAGTAATCACCCTAATAAAAATAAAATCATTTGTCAAGTAGATGTCCTTGACATGAGTAGCTGTCATCCAAAATCTCTGTGAAGGACATTTTATCATTGGGATGAACTACAGAAAAATCTTCCTTCTTCAGTAGGTTCTTAATAGATGTGACAAATTGAAGATATTTATGTTAAAAATTCAGAAACTGATCAATGTTCCTATGTTTTCATTTAATTTATTCAGTGGTAAAAATGAAATCAAAATAAATGAGTACGGCTGTTAATTGAAAGAACTCTTTAAAAAAAAATCCCTCTTAACAATATAACCATTTTCCCCTGGCTTATCTGTAAAAAGGCTATATGTAAGGAATAATTAAAAGAAGTGATGTGATTTTACTTTCCACTTTCATTCTAATCATCTGGGATTCAGATGACCCAATTGAAAGGAATTAAAATCAGCATGAATTGTTTGATTGACTTTAGTTAAGAGGTTCTAAAATATTTGAGTTAACTAAACATAGGCAAGTTTTCTGGAGGAACACAAAATAATCCATCAGTAGACTGGATCAGATGTAGATAATATATGTATGTAAGTTGGTCTATGATTAACATTTCAAGCGTCACTGCTTGTAAAACTGGCATATTGCAAACTGGGGCCCAGCTGTTCTTCCCAAAGAGGCATCAGGGGAAGGTGTTTTTCTTGCCCCTCTCCCTTGCTGTATATAGTTTATTACTAATTTTGTAAAGCTGAAACCAAACATCTCTAGAGGGATGAGCAGGGCACTTTGAACCAAGGCATTATATTTATTGATGTTGCTGTTATATTATTATGGTTTCCGCGCATCCAGCCAGATGTTCAGATGTTGGCACTTCTGTCTACCTATCAAGTCTTTCCCAAAGATCTGGGATAGGCAGATTTTTTTGATGAGTGTGCCTCTTCAAAATAACTAGAATATTTAAAAATAATAAAGCACCAAATGCTTTTTTCTTCCCCTCATTATGTATTATACACTATATTTTGAAATAATATTTCCTGGAGTTCAACAAAAAATAAAAATGCAGTCATTGCAATAAGATGTGATTTGCTAAATTATCACTATGGGTTTGGATGACCTGCACAAAAGCATGTGTTATTAGATGTAGAGGTAGATAGAGATATGAAGTTTTAAACAGAAGATTAAAAAATTAACAAGCATGAATACAAAATAAATAAAGGGATCAAAAAGAAAAACCAGAGCAAAACAAAATATTAAAAACAAAACAAAACCAGAAGCTGACTTTCTTTGCAGCAAATAAAGGTACGATTACAAAAATATTTTTTACTCTATGGATATAAAAAAGGCTATTTTTTTCTATTGTCAAATGTTTTCTAATCAACAAAATCACAAATTACATTTTTTTTTCTGTTTCATACAAAAAAAAATCATAAAGGATTTCCAGTCAGCAAGGAACACAGAAGTTGTCTTTTTTCTAATCAAGGAAGTCCTTTTAGCCATCTCTACAAGTTCTATCCAGTTTCACCAACAATTTCCTCCATTGTGTGTAGTGCCAAATCATTACACTTTTGTGCATATCATATTGCTAGTTATATATAATTTTTTTATCATTCTGATAATTGTACAAATGAAGCACATTGCCAGGTATGTCCTTCTATTAGCTGATCATGTCTTGATTTTACTTTATATTTCCCTTGAAAGAATTCTGATTTATTACAATAAAGGTATCCATTTCTGTTTACTTACAATAACTCAGCTATAAAATGCTGCTTCTGCTGAAAGCCACAAAATTGTTTTTGGACCCAACCTAGATTTATATTTATTCTATATTGTCATAATGGTTGCATCCAACAATGATTTTTAAATTCTACATTACCCTTAGCTTTATCATTCAACAAATATCCATGCTACTCAAATCTCAGATCATGTCTGCCTAATGCCAATAACCTATTTCACAGCAGCACCCACTTCTTTACTTAAACCAAATAGCAAACTGCAAAATACAATTTCAAATCAACTAGACCCAATGATCCTCTATCCTTACATTTTGTAATGCTTTATATTTAACTTGTGTTTTCCCCCTTGCCACATAAATTTAGATATATCTTTCTGCCCTTGTTTAAATGATGCATCAGTTATCGAAACATATTATCTGAAATAAAATAATATTCTAGGTAAACATCTTAATAATGGAAATTATCCCCAACAGTGGGCATTGTATTTTATCCTATACTAGCATCAAATTCTTTTTTTTACTTCATTTAATGTCTTAACATAATTATTTTCAAATAACATACAATTCATATTTGTCAAAGTGGTACCTCTTTGGTACCAAAGTGGAAATATTTAGCCTCTCAATCTTAAAACCCATTTTATTCACCCATTCCATTTGATCTCATATTTTTGTCCTTTTTGTTAATATTTTGGTAGCATTTAAATCTCCATTAACCATTATTTGTGCTGTTTGTGAATTATAAAATAATTTTACCCATTTTATAAAATTCTCTCCAAAGTTCAAATCTTCCAAAACTTTAAACAAAAAATTCCAGTTCAAATTGTTGCATCTTAAAAAAAAAAAATCAAGGTGGCCTGTTTTTTATTATGTTGTGTCAAATATTCCAACACAGTTGTAACATTATCTTCAAGGCTTTTTTTTTTTTTAAGGAAGAAAACATCAATTGATCGTCGTGTGTAAAATCTTGAGAAATTATTTTCAATCGTTTAGCTAAAACCATTGTAGCAATTTATGCTCACTGTTCAATAATTATATTGGCCTGTAGTTTCTTGTTATAGTGAAATCCTGTCCCTTTTTAGGTATTAATATTACATTAAAATATTATTCAACATAGATACAATATTTTCTGCATCAGGCATTAATCTGAACTTCATATTCTGCG